AATTGGTGACTACGTAATTGGTGACTACGTAAATGGTGACTACGTAAATGGTGACTACGTAAATGGTGACTACGTAATTGGTGACTACGTAATTGGTGACTACGTAAATGGTGGCTAGGTAAATGGTGACTACGTAATTAGTGACTACGTAAATGGTGACTAGGTAATTAGTGACTACGTAATTAGTGACTACGTAAATGGTGACTAGGTAATTAGTGACTACGTAAATGATGAAGTTACGTGAACGATGAAATTATATAAGCGGTGTTACGTGAACGGTGATAAGAAAACAGTGGCAATACGTGATTGGTGAAATTACCTGATAGGTGGAATTACGTGGACAATGAAATCAGGCAATCGGTGACAGATGAACGGTGACAGTAAGTAAACTGTGGTGACACATGATTGGTGGAGTTACGTGACTGGTGAAGTCATGTAATCGGTCAAATATGGACGATGAAACGGTGATAAGCAAACGTGACAATACGTGATTGGTGAAATTACGTGATTGGTGAAGTTACGTGAACGATGAAATCATGTAATCGGTGAAATATGTAATCGGTGAAATGTGATCGGTAAAATAACGTGATTGCTGAAATCACGTGATGGGTGAAATTACGTGATTCATGAAATTTCGTGATTGGTGAAATTAGGTGAACGATGAAGAAGTGAACGATGAAATTATATAAGCAGTGAAATATTATCCGGGACGTTTCGTGAACGGTGAAATTACGTGAACGATGAAATATGTAATCGGTGAGATATGAACGGTGGAATTACGTGAACTGTGACAAAACTTGATTGGTTAAATTAAGTGCTTGGTGAAACTACGTGATTAGTGAAATTACGTGATGGGCGAAGTTACGTGAACGGTGAAGTTGCGTGAACGGTGAAATTAGGTATGCGGTGTTACGTGAACGGTGACAATACGTGATTGGTGGGATTACATGAACGGTGAAATCTGTTATCGGTCAATTGTGAACGGTGAGATTACGTGGTGATTCTTCTTGGTAGATTCATCAAATTACCTGAATAGCGAAAATACGTGAATGGTGAGAATTCGTGATCGGTGAAACTACGTGAACAGCAAAATTACGTGAACAGCGAATATGCGTAATCGGTGGAATACCTGGCCAACAAAGTTCAAGCATAGACCACCCAAAAGACTGCGCTGCAACGCGAGCCCCACCGTCCGTGGCGCTCAACAGGGCTCGCGGATAACCCACGCATCTCCTACAAGACATATTGTATCGTTTGTTTATTTATCGTATCTGGAAATAGCTGCGGTGCTATTTGACGTACTTTTCGGAAGGACGCGACACACTTACAAAGTGGAGGCGATTCTGAAGTCCTTACCGGCATAGACAGCCTTGTCACCCAACTCCTCCTCGATTCTCAAAATCTCGTTGAGCTTGGCCAATCTCTCGGATCTGGCGGGGGCACCGGTCTTGATTTGGCCGGATCTCAAGCCGACGGCCAAGTCAGCAATGAAGGTGTCCTCGGTCTCACCGGATCTGTGCGACACCATGACACCCCAGCCAGCGGCGTAGGAGTCGTTGGCAGCATTGATGGACTCGGACAAAGAGCCAATCTGGTTGACCTTCAACAACAAGGCGTTGGCGGCCTTCTTCTCGATGGCGGTCTTGATTCTCAATGGGTTGGTGACGGTCAAGTCATCGCCAACAATCTGGATCTTCTCAGACACCTTGGCGAAGAAAAGCACCCACGACTCCCAGTCGTCCTCGCCGAATGGGTCCTCAATGGAGACAATTGGGTACTCGTTGATCAATTCCTCGTACAAAGAAGCCAATTGCTCACCAGACAACCACTTGGAGGCGTCCGAGTCTGGGTTCTTGAAGTCCAAGTCGTACTTGCCGTCCTTGTAGAACTCCGAGGCGGCAACGTCCAAGGCAATGCCGACTTGGCCGGTGTAACCAGCAGCCTCAATGGCAGCGACAATCAAGTCCAAAGCCTCTCTTGGGGAGCCGATGTCTGGGGCAACACCACCCTCGTCACCGACGTTACCGGCGGACTGGCCGTACTTCTTCTTGGTCAAGGACTTCAAGTTGTGGTAGACCTCAGAGCCGATTCTCAAGGCCTCGGCGAAAGAGGGAGCGCCAGTTGGCACAATCATGAACTCCTGGAAAGCCAAAGCACCGCCGGCGTGCGAGCCACCGTTGACGACGTTCTGGAAAGGAACTGGCAACACGAACTTGTCTTGCTTGGAGCCGGAGATGTCCGCCAAGTGCTGGTACAAAGGAACGCCCTTCTCAGCGGCAGCGGCCTTGGAGGCAGCCAAAGAGACACCCAAGATGGCGTTGGCGCCCAACTTGGACTTGTTTGGGGTGCCGTCCAAGGAGTTCAAGAACTCGTCGACCTTGGCCTGGTTGGTGATGTCGAGCTTGGCCTCAATGAAGGCAGGGGCAATCTTCTCGTTGACGTTGGCAACGGCCTTCAAGACACCCTTTCCGAGCCACTTGGACTTGTCGCCGTCTCTCAATTCCAAAGCCTCGTGGACACCAGTGGAGGCACCGGAAGGAACGATAGATCTGAATCTACCCTTGTCGGTGAACAAGTCAACCTCGACGGTTGGGTTTCCTCTGGAGTCGTAGACGTAACGGGCGTGGATTTTGGTGACAGACATTGTGTATGAAAATTGATAGACAACAAAAAAAAAAAACCTTTTTCAACCAGGCTCACGGTGCGGATGCGTGGGCCTTTATAATGAGGGGGGAGCTGTGGACCACACAAGCCCGACTTGCATAGGGACGCACCAGAACCTCACCGAAGAATACGCGGCACGGGGGGACAGCGCCGGGGAACGTGGACAGATATAGCCTCATTTATTTTTGTGGCCAGAAGTCCGGATTTTGAAGCCGAGGTGCCTCCGTTTTTATTGTTGGTATTTCGAGCCGGTTTGGGGGAGTTGGCGTGGAAAAAAAAAAACACTTTTTATTGCTCCGGGCCTATGTTGGCCCGAGTGTGCGGTGGGGGTTGTGCCCCGTAAGAGTTTTCGGCGTCGGAGTTTGATGCGCGTACGGATCGTGCCCATGGCCCGGAGCAGCCCGGAGCGTATCCGGACGAGAGGATGGAAGAAATGGAAGCAGCGAGAACAAGGCCGCGTCGTGCGAAGCACAACCGCCAACCCATGGTCACGTGAGCTCGGGGGCCTAGCCGCCGACCGGGTTGCCAGGTCTGTATTGGAAGTGACATCTTCGCCTCCATGCCTCTCGATAATATTCTTGTTGAGCGGACAGCCAAAACCCAAAAGAGGATCTTAGATTAATTAAGATCAAAATGTCTCCAAACCCCATCCGTTCATCTGGAGGATAAACAAACTCTTGTAAACTCTTGAAGGTGCAAACGTTTCTTAGATTCTGTCTAACAGACATTCTTGTGTCAGATTCAAATGTTCAGTACACCACCATTTTGAAAGCTTGTTTATAATGATTAATATTGACCGATTGAATAGCGTGCAAGCTTTTGCCATATCAGTCCGCCATTAAACACCTATTACCTCCTGCTCCTGAACAAAACTAAAAAAAACACAATCTAACGGACTCTGCAGTTGTTATTGTTTTCACAGCCCTAGTAGTGTCACAAAAAGCTTGTAGTAGATGCAACATATTGTGTGGGCACGATCTTCGCGCTGCAAAAATGCTATAAAGATGTACTCACTCTTCGACGCGAGGCAGCATTATTGTCAACCAAAGTTACATGACCTTGCTGAACTATAAATGTTTGAAAAATTGAGAGGCCATCGCACGGTTAGAATATCAAAAAAAAAACTTAAGTTCCCCACTGATTTCGGCTGAGAAGAGTACCCAACGGAATTCCAGTCGGACGGAATACTGGCTTTGAGATTACAAAATTTTACAACTGCACAGGATGTGTGTCGGCTCTAGTATCCCTTTATTATGCGACACACTTATCACCTCTGAGTCAAAGATTTCTCCTCGCCACATGGGGCTGCACGCGCCGGTGACTATCTTCGGAAGTCCGAGTGTTTTAAACTTAATGACAATTCCGTGGCTTGCATGCATATGAGGCATCAGTACGTGTCCCATTTCTGCAGTCACCCCTAGCTTGCTGCCGGCGGCAAGCGCAGGGTTTGTATACTGATCCATGTCTCGGATTAAGTGTATCTTGCATGCACTTATGCGCAGGCTGTGTCACTCTCCATGTATCGTGCAGAAATCGAAGCGATCCGGGTTTGTCAACCTGGCCGTGTCATACGCACGATGACGCTCCTCATCCGCCACGCACTTTCTGGCCACGCGCCACGATTGCTGCCTCAGCGCACAATTACATCACAAGATAACATATGCCGTCGACGTTCCTGATCGTTCTCTGATGTACGATTACATCAGGAAATGACCACGAGGCCCACGGCTCGCTTACAGTTTATCATAAACACGTGCGTCCAAAAGGCAGCGTCATGGCCCCAATTTGAACCCCTATCCACTGTGCATTATACAGAAGGCCTAAAATACCAGTTATATTGGTGGAATCTCTCTAGCCAAAGATAGGTCGGCTTATGAGTTTTTCCACATAGCAGACCGAACCGAGCTTTTAAACTTTGCTCACTGTTACTGTAATTTTCGCACACATATTATGGTTCGAGTTTGTCGGCTGGACCTTCCGCGAGCCCCACTTGTGCTTCGCATAATCAGGCCACATAACTGAGAAAACTGTTATACACATTAAAACAGCTGATACAGTAAACTGGGATGTGGGTAAGCACATAAACTGCTCGTCGGGGGGCCAGGCCTTGCCCGGTTGTCAGGGGTGATCAAGCAGGAGCAGCCGGTATGTTCAGGGATGTACTGGTGTTAGCGAGGCTCCAGGTTCAGCATATGGAAGAGCCTTTGATAGTGGCTGGAGTTAACGACGCAGGCTATCGATGACAAGCAAAAAAGAGCCCACTATTGATGAGTACACGCGGCTCAAAAACGAGCTCACGCGGCTGATTCTCAAAAAGAAAGAGGTTGACTCCAGGCTCGCTGAACTAGAGGAGTCCATCTACGAAAAGGAAACCGACTATTTCAATGACAGTGCGTACGGAAACATCGTCAAGGGTTTTGACAACTTCGCCAAGAGCTCCTCTGGCGGAAGCAACAAGCGAAGGTTGGTGATTACAGACGAAGACCACATTTTTAGCATGTCTTCGGCCACGTTTGTGAAAACACTACTGAAACGACAGGGCATGGTGTCCACGGCCACGGATCTTGACGATTATGAAGATTCTGTGGAACCGACTAATGGGGGAGTTCTGGGGAAGGACGCCGGCGCAGGCACTCCCACGAGAAAGAAAAAAATGTAGAGACGAACGAATGTCTGGAATGGAATGAAGAGATGGACAAATGTCTGAATGGAGTGAAAAAATGGCGATCTGCAGGAGGAAATATAGAGATGAGGAGATGGAGAGCATGGCCAGAGAAAGGACAAGCTGGAGAATGGGGAATCTGGAGAAAGAATTTTCAAAGAATCTAGGGAAAGGCCAAAGCATTCAGAATCCAGATACTCCAAAACAGAACCCAGAACCCAGAAAATGAGACAAATGAAAATTCAACGTGGCACCGGCGGGCTGGCATAAAAAAGGTGGATTTCAGGCGGAGAAGGCGTGAATTATCCAAATACATCCACAACGGGACCGACGGGAAAAAGAAGCCACGCAGTCCGAAACCTGTCTGTTTTCTGGTTACTGGCCCTTTTTTCGGTTGCTGGACGATCCTCGCAGGTTCTCGCAGGCTGGCCCCTGCCTTAGACAAAGGAGTTCCTGGCTAATCCCGACATTCTGTCATGGCGTATCAATGCTGTGTATTTGTATGTACATGGGTGCGTTCGAACATGCAAGAACGGATTCTTCGCTTGGGTGACTTTCGAAGTTCTTCTTTGTTTCGCTCGGGTCATGCAAAGTTCTTCTTCTGCCGCTCGTCCTTCAAAGTTATTCTTCGTTCCGCTCGTTTTTCAAAGCTCCCGCTCGTCTCGCGTCTTTCCACCTGCTCTCATCTTGCGTGCGGTTTCTTTAAAATTCTACTTCGCCTCGCTTGCGTTTTTCTCAAAGTCATACACCCAGGGCTTGTTGGCGGGAAAGTCAGTGGGCACCCTCATGTCCAAAGGAAACCGCTTCATTGTTTCCGGCTTGTTGGCAGCCTCGTATAAGTCTGGGCTGATTTCCTTCAACTCGTCCATGGCATTTCGGATGCTGTTGTACTGTTTTTCGAGAAGATCCATGGACTTGGCATGCTGCTTGCGGGAGAAAATCTTCCAAGCATTTGTGATAGTCTTGTGTTTGATGAGATCCTCGGCACACAACTTCAAGAGTTTGGGCTGTTTCTTGGTGGCCGAGAGAGCCGAAAGTTGGTTCACCACTTTTTGTGTGGAGGGACTCACGCCCGTGGTTTTTTTTCCACGAACAAAAAGCTTGTGGAGCTGCGGCGTGCGCCCGGCAGAGAGACGAGAAATCATGATGCTGTGGACTTTCAAATGGCCAGATGATGGTAAGGGCTCACGTTGATATGAAAATTTTGAGACGCACCCGTGCACCAGGAGAGTTGTGTCACGTGACCCGCGCCTGGTCATGCACCCCGCGGTTTGCCAGCGCCGGGCTCCTTGATGCATATAGTCCTGGGCTGGATAATCTGACATTTTGGGACTGACAAGAATCTGACACGAATTGGTGAACCTGATAAGAGTTTGAATTATAATATTTACAAGACACTGATAAGAGTTTGAATTCTAGAATCTGGCAAAATCCTGATAAGCGCTTGATTTCTTGGATCTGACGAGAACTTGATAAGCGCTTTACTTCTAGAATTTGGCAAGAGCCTGATAAGAGTTTGAATTCTAGAATTTGGCAAGAACCTGATAAGAGCTTGATTTCTTGGATCTGGCAACATCCTGATAAGCGTTTGACTTCTAGAATCTGACAAGAACCTGATAAGAGCTTGGCGTCTAGAGTCTGACAAGAAACTGATAAGAGCTTGATTTCTTGAATCTGACAAAACCCCGATTTCAAAAACTTGACAAGGACCTGCTTAGGATCTGCTTAGACCTCGACGAGAATCTGACATTTCGGATCTGACAGCTAAAGTGACTGAAGCCTGGCTTGAACGAGACATCTAGAATTGCCTAGAATCGAACCTGACTGTAATTTGACTAGAGCCTAGCCTAAGCCTCACATCTAAATCAGCTAAAACCTGAACTGGCTGTATTTAGAAGATTCCTTGGATCTGACATCTTCGTCTTGTTGGAATCTGACCACAATCTGATCTCAATCTGATCTCAATCTGATCACAATCCGATCATAATCTGACTAAAAGTGCGCCAGAATCGACTACAGTTCGACTACAACTTAGCTCAAGCTCGCCACAGCCTGGCCTGGACCCAACTACAACCTGGCCATCGCCTCAATGAAAAACCCGTTCTCTTCCGCGCCCAAAAAAGAGCTTCCCAGCGACGAGCCGCCTCCATACGAGCAGCTGGAAGCAATCCACAGCCCCGAAAAAGGGGATCAAAAGGTCCCGGAGGCACCCCTGTATTCTGAAACATACGGGCCTAACGAGTACCCGCCCGAAAAAGGGGGGCCTCCGGTTGCGCCCCGCCCAGACTGGCAAAACGGCAATACCAGCAGCCCGGGCCACGTGCCGCCGGGTACCTACACCTACACTGTGGCGCCACAAACCGCCAACATTGCGTACGATATCGAGGGTAGAAACGCCCGCCCCGGGTACGCACAGTACTTGCAAACGGACGCCCAGAGAATCGCCCAAGGGGACGCGCCTAAACCGCGAGAGGCGTTTGGTCGGGGCGGCGCTCCTTTGGCGCCCAGCAAGAAAAGCCTGGGTCAGTCGGGCGGCTTTCCTGGCGCGCTGGGCCCTACCTATTACGACTCTTCCCGCAAATGAACTAATACGCTGCAGAATGCGAGACATGTCTCCGGGGTGGTCTGCTCCAGCAGCTCTAGTGGGGTTCCGTGAAGGAACAACCATTGGTTTTGCGGCTTTTTCTCCGCCTTCGTGTTTTCTGCTTCCGCTTATAATGATACGCGGTTCGAACCATAGGAATATGGCGCGCCAGGCGGTGGAGCTACTGTGCCCATCCAAGCTGGCGGACGGTATGTTCTCGTGCCAGAGCGCATTGTGTTTCCAGTCAAGAGCGGGGTTTCTTTTTCATCGCTCTTCTGCTCAAGCGTGTAGGGGCCTATACTTTCTCTGCACGGGCAGAGATGGAACCAAGAAGTCTGGAAAATTCATGAACAGCCCAATCCACAGCAAAGAGGCATGCCAGACGAGATGAGACTACAGAAGAGACTACAGAAGAGACTACAGACGAAACTACAGATAGACGAGTAAAACCCAAAGAAATATAGTCAGACTCTTGCGGATTTGTTCTGTTGGTATTCTTGGCCGAAACGGGAGCTGGATGAGTCGGCCAGAGGGTGTTTTTGTTTGTTGATTGATCACCACTGAAACAGGGCCAGTTGTGCTTCGTTTTGTTTGCTTCTGCTGTTTGGGTGGCCTGCTGATTCCCAGAGCGACGTTCAGAAAACATCCGATGGCTCTCGACGCTTTGCTGTGCATCACATGGTTGTATATCTTGATTTATACATAGCTACATATCTTGATTCTTGCCTAGCTCGCTCACTCTACAGCATGAATCACTGTGGTATACCGCTGACGCCCGGGAAAGGACTCAGGCTCGGTATACGGAAAGGTACATGTTTCATGAGGAATTCTGATCTTCGGCTGAAAAGCTGGGGATAGCTTCCCTGTTTCGGCATACTAAGATCGAAAGGAACCATGTGTTTGAGGCGCACGTCTCGGGCCTTGATGCACAGTCGCCGGTTATCAGCAGAGCCAGTAGATTATGGATATGTATTGGTGCGAGATCCGCCAGCGCGAGTCTCGAGAAGGTGGAATTGTTGCTCGTGAGGGGCAAGGCTGGGGCCCACCCGTGGCACTGCTCCAGGAGTATCTCGTTTCGGCTGCAGGAAAGATGGAAGCCTCACGATGTCCTGCGGATTCATCCGTTTGCAGCCCATGGTCCGGCTCACGCTGTCTCGCGGGCCTCTAGCGGGCCTCGACCTTGCCTCGCAGATCCGGTCTATAAACGCGATAATGACAGCTACCATTGGACTTGTAGCGAGAGGCTCGCAGCGCTAGACAAGGACGCTGCGCAGAGAGCACTGCGCTGCATGTCGGCAGCCAGAGATGGCATTCCTCCCGTGAACTCGGCGGAGATGGCATTCCTCCCATGCACTCGGCGGAGATTGGCTCTGCCATGATCCAAGTGCGTGGCAGAACAGCAGCGAAAGTGCGCCGTGTGATTCTGCGTGGCCAGCGCACCTCCGCTTCGGCATTGCGTCTCGAAATCAACTCGGCATCTGGGAGTCAACTCGGATCTCGGCGCCTGAGGAGCCACCACAGGACAAGAAAGAAACCTGGGGCATATCCATACGCAGAGATCCCGGGCCCTTCCGGCACCCACAGAGCCCCGGGATCGGCGGCGCCTAGAGGCCCATTTCCGCCTGCAAGGCCCGGAGCGCCTCCTCGTCCTCGTCCTCCTCGTCCTGCGTCTCGGGCTGGCTCTTGCTGACTGTCGGGAACTCCGGCAAGGCCAGCACCGGCCGCGAGGACTGGGCCGACGGCGCGGCGTGCTTGGGCGCCGGCAGCCTCTCGAGCTCGCGCGCCTGCTGGTCCTCGGCCTGCAACGCAGCCAACTCCGCGTCCAACTCGTCCTCGTCGACGTAGCCCGTGCCCACGGGCCGCGAGATGGCCTCGGAGATCTCGTCGGCCAACTCGACCTGCTCGCGGATGTCGTCCATGGTGGTCTCCACCTTGTCGACGTCGTACTCGCCGTGGATCTGCTTCATGGCAGACGCGCCCTGCTTCATGGCCTTCATGGTCTCCAAGTTCAAGTTGGCGCTCTCGATGGCCGTCAACTGGGTTTCCAAAGAGTCGATCTGGTTCTCGATTTTCATCAAGTTCTCCTCGTAGCCCTTCTTCCGCTTGAGCGCGTTCTTGGCCAAGGCCTTGTTTGTGCCAATGTGTTTGCGGGCCAACAGGTCCTGGTCCGCGATTTGCAGCTCGAGGTGGCTGCGTTTCTTGTTGAGCATCTGGATATGCTCGCGCAACTCCACAATGGCCTTTTTGGGCAACTCCTTTTTCTGCTGCTTGTTGCCGCCGAACATGTAGCTCCACATCCTGGGCGTGGTTTTTGGTTTCGGGGGCGAGGGGGAAATGGGGGGTTTAAATCTTGAGGGGCTCGGCGGCAAACGACCGTTTGGGGCTGGGTTTTGGGGGTGCTGTGGTGGGTTTTGGGGGTGGTTTGGGCAGCCTGATAAGAGGCCTGTTAGTGCTGAGATTGCGTGGCGGGGGCTGGGAGGTTTGGGTTACGCGCACGACCCGCCGCGCCGGCGTCACGTGCCGCGGCCCGCCCGCCTGTTTCTTTTCGCTTTCGGTGTCTTGGAAAGTTGGGTGATGACGCGGATTTCTGGGTGGGTCTTGGCGTGGTTTTCTGGGTGGGTCTTGGCGTGGTTTTCTGGGCGGGGCCTGGCGTGGTTTTCGGGGATTCTGCGGCCTGATTGGGCCTTCTTGGGCCTTCTTGGGCCATGCTATATTGCGAAAGGCGCGGTCCCATGGATCTCTGCGATAGCGAGCGAGCGCTTTCAAAAAAGGCAAGGAACAGAAAAGAAAAAAGGCAAGGAACAGAAAATGAAAAAAGCCCTTTTGTTTCGCTGAGTCGCCGGCCGCTGAAGCCACAGACAGAGCTCGCGTGTACACCACCCGGGGCCACGGCCTGTTGTCGGCCCGTATATTATCGCTAGGCTATGTAGGTACATACCCTGTGCGCAGGACAGCGGCCGTTCCTATCATAGGCCTGTAGATTCCCTCTGGGCCCCGGGGTTAGGGCCGTGTTTCTTGTGGTGGCGGTATGCGGCAGTGTGGTGGGAGCCAGGCAGAAAAAAAAACGACCTGCGCCAGATACCCGTGGTGGGCTGGCCCAATATGGCCATGTTTCTAGATTGCCGGGACGCCGCACCCACGGGCGTCGCCAAGACAGGCTGTTTCTGTTTTTCTCGAACAGATGTGTTGCTCGTCACAGTCCAAGAAGCGGGTTCTCGGCAGGCCCTTTCTTGATGGAGCCTTCGTCGGCATTTGCCAAACGGCCATTTCTCTACCAAAGGGCCGGTCTTTCTCTGTTGGTGGTGTGTGATCGAGGAAGGTGAGTTATCGTTACTTGATCGAGGAATTTTCAGCTGGGCATTTTCGATCAAGCATTTCTCAATTGGTGGTACTTGATCGAGCGATCCCGATTGGTCATTCTTTGATCGAGTATTTCTCAACTGGGGGTACTTGTTCAGGCATTTCTCAATTGGTCGTTACATGATCGAGCATTTCTCAATTGGTGGTACTCGATCGAGCGGTCCCGATTGGTCATTCTTTGATCGAGTATTTCTCAACTGAGGGTACTTGTTCAGGCATTTCTCAATTGAGGGAACTTGATCGAACAATCCCGATAGGTCATTCTTTGATCGAGTATTTCTCATTTGGGGGTACTTGTTCAGGCATTTCTCAATTGGTGGAACTTATTGGAGCATTTCTCAATTGGGGGTTGTTCAGGCATTTCTCAACTGAGGGCACTCGCTCAGGCATTTCTTAATTGCTGATCGACCAATTGTCAGTTGGTCGTTACCGTGCACTCCCCAACACTTGATCGAGAATATTCCAATAGGTCGTTACTAGTTCAAATGTTTCCCAACTGGTCGTTTTCTGAACACGCACTTCTCAACTGGTCGACACTTGATCGAGCTTTCCCAATAAGTCGTTACTTGTTCAAGGACTTCTCAACTAATCGTTTCTTGATCACGCATTTCCCAAAAGTTCAATTCTGACCACGCACTCCCCAGCAGTTCATTTCTTGACCACGCACTTCCCAGCAATTCTTTCTGACCACGCACTTCCCAACTGGTCGTACTTGATCGAGCATTCCCAATTGTTCAATTCTTGATCGATCATTCCCAACTGGTCATTTCTTGATCAAGCATTTCCCAACAGGCAGTCACTTGATCGAGCATTCCCAACCGGTCATTTCTTGTTCGAGCATTCCCAATTGGTCGTTACGTGATCGAGCATTCCCAACCGGTCATTTCCCAACCACGCCTCTCCCAACAGATCAAGAGGGGACCCCTCCAAACACTCCCCACCGGGCGCTTCCCCGTCTCATCAGCTGACCACCACCCAGAGAAAGAAAAACACGAGCAAAACACCAAACACCTTCAAGAACATCCAGCGGTTGCTGGATATGTGCGCGTAGTACTTCAAGAGCTCGCGCTGCGCGCCCGAGATATTCATGTCGATGTCCTCGACGTTCTGGTCGATCCGCTGGATGGCCTCGCCCTGCTCCGTGACCATGGTGGCCAACTGCAGGAACAAGTTGCCCACCTCGTTGATCGTGGCCTCGATGGTCTCCACGGCCAGGCTCCGCTGCTGCAAGTACTCGCTGCTCTGCTCCTCCATGAGCAAGAGCTGCCGCGTCTGGTCTGGGATCGAAAGCAAGTCCGCGCCGCCGGCCGCGGCCGGCTCCGGCGCGTCCGCCATCAAGTACGGGTTCTCGCCCAAATTGGCCAAGTGGTGGGCGCCGCCCAAAACGGCAGGCTGTGCGTTCGGGCGCCCCGTCAGCGCCGCGGAGAGGAAGTTCTCCTTGCGCGACTTGTTGGCTAGCTCGTTCCTCTGCCGGAGCTCCAACACGGCCTTGAACTCGCCGCTGACGTTCTTCATCTTGGAGTTCAACAAGTTCAACACGTTCTTCAGGTTCTGCGAGATCTGCGAGTCCACGGGGACCTGCGGCCCGCCGCGCACGTGCCGCTGCAAGCTCTGGATGCTCTGCTCGATCTTGAAGATGTCCTGCTTGATGACATAGGTCAACTCGCCGATCTCCACGGGGCGGTCGTCGAAAAGCGGTTTGCGCTTGGCTAGAAGCGCGAGTTTCAGCAAGAGCTCGGTGGTGTGCGCAATGTCTTTGGCGATCACGCTGGCCTGCTGGCTGAACTGGGACTTGCGCGGCGGCACGCGCTGCTGCTGGCGCGTGCCGGGCTTGTTCTTATTGATTTTGTCGAAAGAGGCCACGCACTGCTGGAACTCATGCGTGCGGTTCTGGAGGGCGGACATGGCGGCCGCTGTGCGTGTGGGCTAGTTGCGGGGGTGTTCCGGGCTTGGGGTGCGGTGTCCGAGATCGGCCGCGGGATATGTAGTTGCTGCTGGCCGGGTGTGTGCTTCAAGCGGATGAGCTAAAACGGGCGTTTTTGGAGCGGTGCACTGAGACCGCGTGATGTTGAGCGACAGGCTGGCGGCGCGCTGTGTGCAGGCCGCCGCCTGGTCCGGGCGTATTTCTGTGGGCGGTCCATTTTCCCCGAGAGGTTGCCGGAGATAGGGGCCCCGGTCTCGGGGCGGCCGGGACGGCGGGCGGGCCTTTTTTGTTTGGGTGTTTCTGTGTCGTGGGGCTGGTGGCGCTGGTGTTTATGGGGACTGCGAGATGGGTATTTTGGTGTGGTCATTGGATGTTTTGGTGTTGGATGTTTTGGTGTTGGATGTTTTGGTGTTGGGTGTTTTGGTGTTGGATGTTTTGGTGTTGGATGTTTTGGTATTGGAGATGTTGGTATTGGAGATGTTGGTGTTGGATGTTTTGGTGTTGGGTGCTTTGGTGTTGGATGTTTTGGTGTTGGATGTTTTGGTGTTGGGTGCTTTGGTGTTGGGTGCTTTTGTATTGGAGATGTTGGTATTGGTTACCATGGTGCTGGGTTACCATGATACTGGGTCACGCTGGTGCTGGGTTAACATAATATTGAGTTACTATGGTATTGGGAGATTGTAATATTAGGTTATTTGAATGTTGGTTATCGTACTGGGCTACTATGGTACTGGGTTACTGGTTCTGGGTTATTATTATACTGAGTTACCATGGTATTGGGTTATTATATTATTGAGTTATGATAACATTAGGCTAAGGTTTTCCTGATTGTGATCTTGGGTTACTATGGTGCTGGGTTACTATGGTGCTGGGCTATTATAATATTGCGTTATTATGGTATCGCGTTACTATGGTTGTCAGTTACTATGATATTGGGTTATGATAACATTAGGCTATGGTAATACTGAATATTGTGATATTGGGTTACTCTAGTCCCAGGATGTTATGATACTGGATTGTTATGGTACTGGGTTACTATAGTCCCGGGTAAATATGGTACTGGATTGTTATGGTACTGGGCTATTATGATACTGATTACTTTTACATTGATTACTTTGATATTGGTTATTTTGATGGTCATTTGAGACTTTGGTATTGGGTGTTTTGGTATTGGGTGTTTTGGTATTGGATGCTTTGGTGTTGGATGTTTTGGTATTGGAGATGTTGGTATTGGAGATGTTGGTATTGGAGATGTTGGTATTGGAGATGTTGGTATGGGAGATGTTGGTATGGGAGATGTTGGTATTGGAGATGTTGGTATTGGGTTCATACGGTACTGCGTTATTATGTTTTTGGGAGATTTTGATCTTGGGTTATTGAAGTACTGGGTCATCATAGCCCCGGGTTGTTATGGTACTGGATTGTTATGGTACTGGGGTACTATAATCCCGAGATGTTATGGTACTGGTTTGTTACGGTACTTGGTTATTATGATATTGATTACTTTGAGATTGGTTAATTTGGTATGGTCATTTAAGATTTTATTGGATGCTTTGGTATTGGATATTTTGATATTGGATGTTTTGGTATTGGATACTTTGGTATGGAAGATTTTGGTATTGGATCGTTTGATATTGGAGATCTTGATATTAGATATTTTGATATTGGAGATCTTAATATTAGATATTTTGATATTGGAGATCTTAATATTAGATATTTTGAACTTGGATTGTTTGATTTTGAACTGTTATGATATTGGTTTGTTATGATATTGGGAGGTTGTGATATTAGATTACTATGGTATTGGGTTAATATGGTACTGGGTTACCATGGTGCTGGGTTATATTGATATTGGGCTACTATGGTTTTGGGAGATTGTAATATAAGGTTATCTTGATATTTGTTATCATTGTACTGGATTACAATGGTGCTGGGCTACTGATACTCGGATGTTATGGTACTGGGTTGTTATGGCACTGGGCTGTTATGGCACTGGCTTATTATGGTACTGGGTTACCATGATATTGATTATTTTCATATTGGTTATTTCTATTTTGGCCTCTTATGGTACTGGGTTCTTATGGAGCTAGGTTAATTTGATATTGGTTTTTTTTGAAATTGGGCTGTTATGGTATTGTTTGTTTGTATATTGAGTTATTACGGTACGGGGTCATTTTGGTATCGGGTTACTATGATGTTAGGTCACTATTATATTAGGTTATTATAGAATTGGGCTACTATGGTGCTGGGAGATAATGGTATTGGGTTATGATAACATTAGGCTACGGTATTACTTATTATTGTGATGTTGGGTTACCATGGTGCTAATTATGGTACTGAGCTTTTGTGGTACTGGGTTATTATTGCACTGGGTTAGGTACTGGGTTGAAAATGTTGGGTTACTATGGTTTTGGATTGTTATTATGGTATTACGTTACCATGGTATTGGGTGACTATGGTATTGGGTTACTATGGTACTTACTAGTATGATACTAACGTATTGGCTTATTATTATATTGAGCTATTTTGACGTCATGTTATTTCTATATTAGGTTTTCGGGTTCGTGATATTGGGTCATTGTGATAATGGAAACACTGCTATTCTTTTGAATCTGCTGCTATCTGATTCTGGAATCTTCGTACTCTTCTACTTTTAAGGACGCTTTTGGTCGATGGCCCTTTTACGGCATGCTGTGGTCTTTCGCCTGTCTTGTTTGGTCGACTACAGGAGCATGTTGAGGATGGAATTCAGAACGTTCTGCTATCGAAAAAGTGAGGGAGCTGCTTGGAATTAGTCTTCTGTGGGCTCATATCCTCAAAGGTAATGACTGTACTGTATCACGCCACGTGAAAGTAATAGAATATGTCTTCGGTGCTCGAATGATCAATGTTCTTGATTCTGAAGATAGTATTTCCAGCTGCAAAATCCAACATCTGGAATCACCTGCTTGGAAATCTCCTCATCTCCCAGCAGCCTTCCGTATCTCCAGATCAAACAGAGTCTAGCCACCCGCAAATCTTGAAATTCAATTACTCTCGCTGTCTGTGGACATGCAGATGTCTTTTGGCCACTTTCCATAAGGCCTACAAATGAGTCCACCAAGTAGATGGGACATTTTGTCTTCATTCCCCATTTGAGCTCTCGATATGAATGCAGTGGAGCTGTATTTCAATACTATCCCGAGACGTTCTAACGTAATAATGCATTTATAGATGTTGAAGAGTGCGATCAATCTCACCATTTTATCATTTGACATTTTGTTCCCTCAATGGTCCTTGGTAGACACCCTGCAAGCATATGATCTCCAAGCCGAAATGGACCCCAAGCCTTCTACTCGATAACACCTGAATCTATAAAGCTAGAGTGGTATTCATCATCGGTCCAAACCTGGCTCAAGTCGTCTTGTGAGAAAATTGCAGGGTACTTCCAGCAACATATACTGCTGTGCGCCCAATACCAACAATTCTGCAACTGCATGTTTGTCCCTCTTCTATGGATACAAACACCAGAGTTTCATGATAAAGCATATTCTTCTTTCCTTCTTATATACATTCCGTGGAAGGCATTTACATCTAGTCACTCTTTTGCACAGCGGTTAATAGCCACACTGCTGTATTGCACCCCGGGTTCACCGCACATTCTTCAACTCCTGGCTCCATTGAGAAATTTGTCTGGAGTTCCGGATCTCAAATTGAACCGCTTTTTGATCGACTGTCTTCGGTCTCTGCTTGCTGGGCAGGTGTTCCCAAAATATATGGAACAGATACTAGTCCCAACCTCTATGCTAGTTTTGTTGCCGCCAAAAAGCCGCAATTCTTGAAAGCACTAATGGACCTCTTGCAAACCGCATATTAAAAAAGGCAAAGCTACTTATAAGATATGTCCTTTACACATGTTGTGTTCCGTCGTGATCGTGTCTTTATTGGAACGAAAGACCGCCTATGCAGACTCTCGTGGATATGGGGTTCGGTACGTATCTCCTGTGAATTAATTGTTTCTCAATGCTGTATGTCTAAGTCCTGTTATCGCAATAATGGCTCAAAACAATTTTCATTTTATAAAACTGCAAGATCTTGCAAAACCGAAGCTTTAATATATATTTGGCAAAAAATGGCATTTCGCAGCTGGAACCTGCGCATTTTCATTTATCATCCTCAGTTTCACCAAAAAACAAAATATTAATCGACATCCAAAAAAACAGGAAGCGACAAAAATCGTTCTCGGCCCAAATAAATTGTTACATACAAGCGGCACCAACCGCCCAGCCAAAAAAAGAAAGCTGCGGTATGCTTTCCTCTTAGTACGGGAAATCATTGCCAGGTCCTGACATTCTTGTGTTGGGCCGCACCTCTCCTAGACGGAAGCACGTGACACTCACACCTCACCAATACACACGAGAAATCCGAAAAAGCTACTTATTTCAGGCGCTCTGCTCCTTGTCAGCAAGCATGAGACTCAGAAGCACAGCAAAAGCCACACCCAGCACGGGGGCCTCGGTCGGCAGCACGGATCCCGATGAGACAGGTGGCATCCCAAAACGGGAAAAAGACAACACTCGGAGGTCGTGCGCATACCGCCTGGAGCCCGCACAGAAAACAAACATGGCCCAAACCAGCCCATTACCCTTCTGGTCCCTGTTATCTCGCTACCACTCCCTTCTTAAAACACCAAAATGAGAGAAATCGTACGTTGCTCCCCCCAAAAAACAAACTCCATGGAATTCCCCGGGACCGGCTGTCCATTTCTGCCTTTTTTCCGTTTTTCTAGCTCCTTTAGTTCATGATCTGAGACGCGAATACGACACGCTCCACACGATGAAACACCAATTTTTAAAATCTTGGACTTTCACACCTCAGCACAAACACGTGTCCACGATCGACCTTTGATATGTCCAAGCCATTGCCATTTTTTGGGGAGAGAGAAATCAGGGATTTAATGTTTGCTTGTGGCGGAGGTTCTGAAACTAGCCGCCGGCGCCCCCCTTGAAACACCAACATGTGAAAGACTAGTATTTGCACGTCATAAAGGAATACGCCCCATGTCACCCCAGAACTTTGTAACGCAGCTCTCAAGCCTATATCTGCATTTCGAATCACGGTCCCCTAGATCATCCCGTCATGAGCACGTCACGTGACCCCCCACATCAAGATCCCACAGCCAGGTCCCGAATCCACAGCCAGGTCCCGAACCTCTTATCAAGCCCATACTAACATGCTCTAGATTCACTTGTCCACTGGTCAATGTGGTAACCAAATAGTATGTTCACATTTTACATCCCGAACCATAAATCCATAAGTCCATTACTAACAACTGTAGGGTGCTGCCTTCTGGGAAACCATCTGCGGCGAGCATGGCTTGGATAACAACGGAAACTACCACGGAGACGAAGGCATCCAGAAAGCCAAATTGGACGTCTACTTCAACGAGGCGTCTTCTGGTAAGTACGTGCCTCGCGCTGTGCTCGTGGACTTGGAACCCGGCACGATTGATGCCGTGAAAGCCGGCCCCATTGGCAACTTGTTCAGACCAGACAACTATATTTTCGGCCAGTCGTCCGCTGGTAACGTGTGGGCAAAGGGCCACTACACCGAGGGAGCCGAGTTGGTCGACTCGGTCATGGACGTTGTGAGAAGGGAGGCCGAAGGGTGTGACTCTTTGCAAGGTTTTCAGATTACTCACTCCTTGGGTGGTGGTACAGGTTCCGGTATGGGAACCTTGTTGCTTTCGCGTATTAGAGAGGAATTCCCCGACAGAATGATGGCCACGTTCTCTGTGGTGCCTTCGCCAAAAGTGTCGGATACGGTCATCGAGCCATACAACGCGACATTGTCCGTCCACCAGTTGGTGGAGAACTCCGACGAAACGTTCTGTATTGACAATGAGGCCTTGTACAATATCTGCCAGAAGACTTTGAAGTTGCCGCAACCGGGGTATCCCCAGTTGAACAGCTTGGTCTCTTCCGTGATGTCTGGTGTCACGACTTCCTTGCGTTATCCCGGCCAATTGAACTCGGACTTGAGAAAGTTGGCTGTCAACTTGGTGCCTTTCCCAAGATTGCATTTCTTCATGGTTGGATACGCCCCTTTGACCTCTATTGGCTCCAAGTCGTTCAGATCGTTGACCGTGCCTGAATTGACTCAGCAAATGTTCGATGCCAAAAATATGATGGCTGCTTCCGACCCCAGAAATGGTCGTTACTTGACTGTGGCAGCCTTTTTCAGGGGTAATGTGTCAATGAAGGAAGTTGACGATGAGATGCACAAGGTGCAGACTAGAAACGCAGACTATTTCGTCGAGTGGATTCCCAACAACGTACAGACGGCTGTTTGCTCGGTCCCCCCTAGAGACTTAGACATGTCTGCCACATTTATTGGTAACTCCACTTCCATTCAAGAGTTGTTCAAGAGAGTGGGCGACCAGTTCAGCGCCATGTTCAGAAGAAAGGCTTTCTTGCACTGGTACACTTCCGAAGGTATGGATGAGATGGAGTTCACCGAGGCTGAGTCCAACATGAATGACTTGGTCAGTGAGTATCAACAATACCAGGAGGCAAGCGTTGAAGAAGATGAGGACTTGGATTACGGCGCAGAAGAAGTGCCATTGGCTGACAACTTGGAGTAAACAATTAGACTGCTCCTTGATTCATGAATAAAATATAATACCCCTTCGCGTCAACTCAACCATTCGTAATCCTGGACTCTCCCTGCCTCGCAGTCCGGTTTTTTCCTACACCATGAAGTTGAATGGCCACCCAGTAGCAACTTCACACAATATTCTTAGATTGTTTGAATTGATATATGTTTGTACAATATGCAAAATGCAACCTGCAAATCGGGACTTTGATCGTTAGAGTCCAACATTGATCAATGATTGACTATCGTACCGAGAATGGAAGAAATGCTACAAAGGTCACTGAGCCCGACTGATGCACATCATCTCCTAAATACTCAGAGCAAATTACCTCAGATGATTTAGTTACCTCTCAAGAAGTTCTTGACAAAGTCGTTCTTGTCAACAGCACCGTAGACTTCTTGGTCCTCGAAGTATCTCAACACGTGACACTGTTGTTTCCAGAAGTTGATTAATTCTTGGAATTCCATCTGGCCCTTGGCGTAAAGAATGTTGGTGACGTCCAAGTCCTTGACGTACCTTTGTCTTTCAAACTCCTGTCTTATTTTGGTTTTAACGTTCGACACGGGCATGTCCAACTCGTACAAGTTGGAGAACTCCTTGGCGTTTCTGATGTACCTGCGGTACATGTGAAGAACTCTTAATCTCATGTCTGAGTGTGTGAGGGACCGGCGAGTGGTCTCGGCAAACTCCGTGGCGAGCGTCATGGTTTTATTGCGTTTGTGTGTACCTTGAAGGGGAGAGTTTTCAACCGGCTGGTTTCGAGGCTCACCTGACAAAATGAGGCAGTTTGGTTGGCCAAAGTGAGGGCGTGCGCGCACCATAAAATAGACCAGATCGCTGTGCCGCTACGCAGATGCAACACACGCGCGCACTCTGGCTAGTAAACTGCCCAGAGGCTCCAAGAGCTTGATGAAGCGGCAGAGCTCGAAGCACTCGTCCCACTTGTCGTCCTTTTTCAACAAAGCGACGATTTGCAAAATAGTGACCTGCTCCGTTTCACCGAGCAACTGTTCGTTGTCGGAGCTCGAGTCCTCGGGCGAGCTTGCACGCTCGTGCTCTTTCTTGAAATTGAGGTAGATGTTTAGGTAGTTGTAGCAGAGATCGACATTTTGCGAGCGAATCAACTTGGCCATGAACTGCATTGGAGTGAGTTCCAAGATGCGGAAGAACTTGTCCCAGAAGTGCACCTCGATCTTGCGTAGGAAACTGACGTATATGCTGTCCGCAGCCTTATGGGCATTGATCACGCCGCACACCTTGTCAAAAGAGCCCTCATCGTCGATGTAATCCAACTGCTCAAAGAGCAAGAGCTCGAGGCAGTGAGTGTAGTTGTTGAAGCCGGAGTACTTCTCATTGATTTGGGGAATGGTGAGGTCCGAGGAGAGCAAGTCGCGGAGAACGAGCTTGTTCAAGATCAGCAAGCGGGCGGGCCGGTGCTTGATGATGAGGTTCTCGTTTTTCCAAAGCACCAGGGACTCGAAGCCCGAAATGGCGATGGTGCCGTCGGACAGCAGCACCAGGACCGGGGTGAACGCCGGCGCCTGCGTCTCGATGGGCCCCAACAGCTGGGCCACGTCGCTCCTTTCGGCGCCCTCGAACTCGTGGGGCCGGTCCAAGAGCTGGCGCAAGTCATAGAGGAGCACGCTGTCGCCTTTGTAGAGCGCGAGATAGTGGTGGCGCGAGTTGCCGGCGAAGAGCACCGGGCACACCTGGAGTCTATCGACCGCGCAGTTCACCCTGACCAAGTCATACATGTGGCTTGGCAGGGCATCCAGCGACGCGCCCGGGGCGAGGGCCTGGTTTTTCAAGAGGAAGCAGTCGCCGTTGCGCAACAAGAAGAAGAAGTGCGTGTTGTCGACGGAGAGCATATCCGCCAAATCACTGATGTGGAGCTTGTGGCGGATGCTGGACAAGTGGATGGTGCGGCGCACGCGGATGGAGATCCTGGGGCCCGCCGCACGTGCCAGGCCCACGGCGGCCATGTCGAAATCCACGAGGATGAGCTTGAAGTCATGCGTGGCCAAGACCAAGGTGCGAAGCTGGCGGTGCCCGGCCACCACCATGCGGAGCACCCTGTTTTTGAACGTGTGGCGCCACAAGAGGAGGTCGCTGTCGAAGCGGAACGGCTGGCCGCCCGCGGCGTTGCGCGAGGGCGGGGTGTTCAAGAGAAGGAGCTCGTCGACCCGCAGCGAGTCGTGCGCGACGCGGCTGGCCACAAGCAAGTAGCCGTCGATCCAGATGTGGTCCACGACGTTGAGCGGCGCCACGAGGTGGTTGTAGAACTGGAACCAGTAGACTTGGCGGCAGTCCAGCCCCAAGTGCGTGGGCGTGGAGATGGCGAGCAGGGCGCCGTGGGCGAGCGACATTTGCGCGTACCGGTTGACGCGGGCAGTGAACACGGGCGGGGCGTCGTCTGGCGCGGCGGGCCACTGGAGGTCTTCGAGGTAGCGCTGGGCGAACGGCGGCACGGGCACGCGGACGAACAGGCCGGGGCTGCCGGGTTGGAGCCGGCTGAGGTACGTGGTGTCCTCGAAGAGGCCGTTTGCACGGCGCACAAGGTCGATCTTGTAGAGCGTATGACCGGGAGCGTCGACCACGTACAAGGCGCGGCCGTTGAGGGCCACGGCACAGAGGGCGGCGCGACAGAACGCGGCACGGCCCAAGCTGGTGGGCGAAAGGGGAGAGGGCGATGCTTCCGAAGGGACGCCAGATGATTGAGCAGATTCAGAGGGGGCATCAGATGGTCCAGCCGATTCAGAGGGGACAACAGATGGTCCAGCCGATCCAGAGGGGACACCAGAAGGGGCTCCAGCCGACCCAAAGGGCACCCCCGGAGAGGCCCCATCGGGCCCAGGGAAAACGCCGGGCGGCACGCCCATGTCCGCCGCGAGCTGCGCCGAGTCAAAGAGCACGGCGCCGAAGCGGGCGTGGAGCGTCCAGCGACCGCGCGCCACGCAGTGGAAGAAGCCGCCGCACGGCAGCCAGGCGAGCGCAAGCGGCCCGTCCGGCGCTGCCGCCACTTGGGCCACGAGGCGCATGCCCACGCGGCCGTCCGCGGGCCCGAGCACATACACGCCGAGCCCGCGCGGCGTGTCCACGAGCACCACGGCGCCGCAAGGGCTGGGCTCCAAGCTGCGCGGCGGCGCGTCGAGCCGCAAGAGCGGCGTGTGCTTCACCGAGCTGCCGCCGCTGTCGGCGTCGTCGCTGCCATCGTCGTCGGCGTCCGTCTCGAGGAGCGCCACCTCCAGCGCTTTGTCCACGTGCAAGACACAGCCGCGGCCCGCGGCCCGCGCCACCAACACGGTGCCGCGGTACCAGGCGTGGTCCCGGAGCCGCACCACGCGGCTGGCGCCCGTGCGCACGTCCACGAACAGAAGCACCCCCCCGGCGGAGCACACGGCCAAGCCGCGCGGCGCGGCGCGGCCCCAGAACGCGAGCACCGGCGCCGGGAAACGGAGGATCTGGACAAGCGCCGCCCGGGCGAGCGGCACGTGCGAGCCGCGTTGCGCGTCATCCGCCGCGCCGTGCGCAAAGTGCTCCGTGCTGGCCATGCCCGAGCCGCCCGCGGCGCCCTGGACCCACAGACGCGTGGCCGCGCGGAGCATGGCGCCGAGCGTGGGGGACGCGCCGCCGGCAGCGAGCGGGAGCGCGTTCTGGAGCACGCGGGCCGGTGCGGCCGCGGCCACCACCTCGTAGAGCGCCTTGCCGCGGGCCACGGCCACGCGGAACACAAGCACGTGGTGCCGGCGCGTGAGCACGTGCACGTGCACGGCCACGGCGGCGGGGTCTTCGCCGGCAGAGGCGCCGCTGCCGGCGGCACAGGCCTGCGCGGCCACGGCGGGCCCGTGGGAGGCCACACACTGCGCGGGGCGCGTGTGGAGCGCGAGGGGAAGGAGCGTCGGGCCGTCGTAGATGGCCATGGCCGACGCCGAGACGAGCGCCACGGCCCGCGTGTGGGGGAGCGGCACGAGCGGCACGAGCGGCGGCGCGAGTGCGAGCGGCACGGTGGCCGATGGCGGCGACGCGACCCAGGCCATGATCAGGGGCGAGGCGGGAGTTTTGGGGGGAGGAAGAGAGAGGTTGGAGGGGGCCGGGGCGGGAGTTGCGTGTTCAGGGCGCGTGCGTGTGTGCAGGCGCGCAGGCCGGGGTGGTGGCAGTCGGGATCATTGGGAGTGATGGGGAGGGGTGGGGGAGGATAGGAGTGGGTATTTGAAGTAATTGTTGGTCGTGGGTATTTGAGTGGGTATTAGTGGGAGTGTTGGTGGGAGTATAGGTGGCGGGAATTTGTAGTGATTATTTGTAGTGAGTATTGGTGGGAGTATTGGTGGGAGTATTGGTGGGAGTATTGGTGGGAGTATTGGTGGGAGTATTGATATTGGGTAGTGATTATTCTGGTAGTGTTCTGAGAGGGTATTTGTAGTGAGTAATTGTAGTGAGTAATTGTAGTGAGTATTTGTAGTGAGTATTTGTAGTGAGTGGTGAGTATTGGTGGTGAGCATTTTTTGTCATTAATTGTAGTGAGTATTTGAGTGGGTATTTGTAGTAAATATTGACAGTGATTATTTGT